ACACACACACACACACACACACACACACACACACACACACACACACACACACACACACACACACACACACACACACACACACACACACACACACACACACACACACACACACACACACACACACACACACACACACACACACACACACATACACACACATACACACACATACAGACATAGTGACACCCTCGCGGGAATGGTCAGGGAAGCTTCCTAGGACCTCAAAACGTCGAGATCTGATGAAAACTCGATTTTCGAAAAACGGGGTAAAACCAATAACTTCCCGATTTTTGAAAATTTTCAATTTTCTTAGCGGGAAGTTAAAAATTATAATGATAATATAATAACGTGTGATAAAAAAAAACCCTAAAATAATGAATTAGACAAAAAAAAGGCCGTTTTTCTTTTCTTTTCTGTCTCTGAAAAAAATATTAAGCTCCGAATAATTGACCTATTTATGATGCAAACAATTGTTTTTAAATAAGATTCTTTTTACTGCATTTACTCCATTTACTTTCTGTAATTTACAAAAATTTTCCACTTTCCACAGTTTCGTGAGTCATGAAATAATTGAAAATAAAGTACTTTGAAAAAAAAATAATACGTTATTCAAGTCCATTAGATAAGTAAACTTTTACTATAACAATAAATCCTAATAAACAGAAAATATCATTTCCGATAATTTATGAGTTTGATTCATAAATCTCCAAAGTTGTCTTTATAAATAAACAATTACAATTTAATTAATATAACTTGAACAACAATCATAACGCACTATAAATCGCACGAGGACGGAATAATAATGACGAAAATAAATCGTCTATTTAACAAACGTTTTAACCCTATTTAAATATACAAAAAAAATTGTATATATCGATGTTAAATGTAAAAATATATTCAATGTCCTCCTGCTCAAGTGATTATTTGTCCACTCGTCTTCTAAAAAGTGTCTTCAATTTTAAATAAAAGTTCAGTCGTTAATTTTACATAAATATTTATGAGTTTAAATTATCGGTACTTTATGATAATTATTAATCATACCCCGCAACTGATTTTTTAAGAAAGATATTGAATAATTTTTTCCATACATATTTATTAGTTTAAATTATCGGTATTTGTGATAATTATTAATCATACCCTGCAATTGGTTTTTTAAAAGTATATTAAAAAATGTTAAATATATATCTCTTTGTTAGGATAATAATAAAATCAAGTAAATGGTAGTACATTATTGTATTAATATTTTATTGATATTAACAATTGATGTATATATAATAACTTATAACAAAATATGCTATATGTCTACTTCTTTATTTACACTAGGGTGCGACAACTCCACTCTTATAAGCAATTAATTGCTTTTTGTGGTTTTTAAATGCTTGATAGTATTTTATTAATGATACTTATTTAAAACAAATTTAGTACCATTTTCATTTGGTCTTCATTACACAAAAACTAAGTGAATTGTATTTTTTGTTTTACTTGCTTAGAAAATTCGATTTATAAATACTAAAAGGTGCTCTTAAAGTTTTCGACTTCCAAAACTTTATCTGACTATCGAAGCTCTTTAAAGTTTAAGGAAACTTATACTTATTATTGTGCATTTAAAGCGCGAATCGGAAAATAAATATGTACGGTAAGGATAAGCGAAAGCCGTAACTTTAACAAGAAGCTATGTATGAAAAATGCAACTTTAGAGAACTTTTTTGATAAATAAAAAATAAAAATTATAGTATTAGTATTAACAGTTGTAAAAACGCAGATTATTGATTCCGCGATGTTTCAGCCATTTTATTTGGCCTTCATCAGGCGTCTAAAACATACATAAAAATAACAACAATTATACAAATATACAAAATCCTACCACATTCAGTATAACAAGTTCATACAATTATGTAATATAAATATACCTCAATTCATACGCGTAACAATATAAAACTTATTATATCCATCCCTTAGCTCACTCAACATAATTAACAAAACTCATTAATTTTATTAACTAAATGAATAAAACCAATTAGCAGACCACTCGTACATGTAAACAAACAGTAGACAACTACTCCAAACCCAACTGTAAGTTAGCTGGGCGAGCGGAGCGCCACTAGTTCGCCAACCCACCGCCGCGGGAGTACAAATCAAGTCAAAAACAAATTGAAATTAAACTCAGTCAGGAAATATAATTTTTATATGTCGATAAAATTTCATTATATATTGCACTCAGGTTTTGGGTATCCGTACGCTTGTTGACCGTATCATTAAGCTTAATCCACACCATCTCACTCACAGATCTTTTATGCCAGTTGTTTTCTAAGTCCAAGATTTTAACCTCGTCAAACTTAAACCTATGACCCGAGTCAAAATAATGCAAAGCCAGTTTGAAGCGTTGGTTCAACAACTTTTGGAGTCCATGAATTTACCGGACCCCAATAAATGTATTTTCAACTTCACCAACAAGGAACTCCCTAAAGAAGTATGCAGAACGTTGAGCCTTGAACCTAACTTTGGATTGCAGATTCAGAATAAGAAGGCTCTCATCCCTCAAGTCATCAAGGATTTAGAGCAGTGTGTAGGTGCAGTCAAATTAGATGACTGTAGTGATACTGATTTGTCTGCAGCTAAGGAAAATTTAAGAGCAAGAAGCATTAACATTGTGTCTAATTTTTGCAAAATTAATGCACGTTCTGAAGATCGTTTGATGTTAAATAGAGACCTTATCGTCACAAAGAAGTTTTTGAAAGAAAATAGTGACCTGGTGGTATCAAAATCGGATAAAGGGAACTCTACGGTCATCATGTTTAAAGAAGAGTACGAGAGGGAGATGGGTGTTCTGATTAATGACAGAACAACTTACCAACCGTTACATCGAGATCCAACTCTCAAATTCCAAAAAAGGGCCAATGATTTGGTGGCGGATTTGTCATCTACGGGTATTATAGACGAAGCTGAAGCGAAAATTCTTCAGTCGAACTACACTCTAGCGCCACGGATTTACGGCCTGCGTAAGACACATAAGCCAACGTGTAAATTGCGTCCGGTTGTTAGTTGTGTACAATCTCCTAGTTACAAGTTGTCTCGATTTGTACATGAAATTTTGACACCAGTAGTTGAAAAATTTAGATTTAATTTGCAAAATTCGTTCCAATTTGTAGAATTTAGTAAAACTGTCGAGTTAGAGAATGACTATAGATTAATATCACTTGATGTGGTTTCGTTATTCACAAATATCCGCAAGGATTTAGTTTTGAAAGTGATTAACGAGACGTGGGATAATATTAAACACTTAGTTAAAGTACCGAAAGATAAGTTGATTAAGTTGGTTGAATTTTGTTTTGAAACGAGCTATTTCAGTTTTGGGGGAACATTGTACGGTCAGGTAGAGGGTTGCAGTATGGGGAATCCGGCTAGCCCGGTGCTAGCCAACTTAGTGATGAATTACGTTTTAGAACAAATAATTTCAGTTCTTCCGTTTAACATTGCTTTTATCAAACTGTATGTTGATGACACTATTGCGGCGGTCCCGGTGACTGAATTGGATAAGGTTTTAGACCTGTTTAATAGTTTCGAGGACTGTATTCAGTTTACCATGGAGGTTGAACAAAATGGGTGCATTCCTTTTCTAGACATTTTGGTTGAGAGATTTGACAACCAACTTAGGACAAATTGGTATATGAAACCAACTAGTTCGGGTAGGATTTTAAATTTCGGTTCCAATCACCCATTATCGCAAAAATTAGGTATGATTCATGGTTTATTGGATAGAATGTCTAGATTGAGCAGTAGTGAGTTCCATGAAATTAACTATCAGAAAATTGAGGCATTGTTACGGAATAATGGTTATCCAAAGTCGTTAATTCTTGCGTCGGTTAATAAATTTAAGGAAAAGACTGTGAACCAAAGAGTCGTTGGTGAGAGGAGGTCGAATTTTATTAAATATTGCCGGTTTCCTTTTATTCCGGGGTTGTCACACAAGATCAATAATTGTTTCATAGGCACGAATGTCAGGTTAGCTTATTATAATGTCGCTAAGATTAAGTCCTTATATTCTAAGCTGAAAGATCCAGTACTCCAGGATCAGAGAGCAGGTGTCGTGTACAAAATTCCATGCTCGTGTGAGCTATGTTATATTGGACAAACCAAACAATATTTGAAAAATAGAATTCAGCAACATAAGAACAGTTGTCGGGATGTAAAGATCTTGGATAACAATAAAACGGCGTTGGCTTTGCATTATTTTGACTCGGGTCATAGGTTTAAGTTTGACGAGGTTAAAATCTTGGACTTAGAAAACAACTGGCATAAAAGATCTGTGAGTGAGATGGTGTGGATTAAGCTTAATGATACGGTCAACAAGCGTACGGATACCCAAAACCTGAGTGCAATATATAATGAAATTTTATCGACATATAAAAATTATATTTCCTGACTGAGTTTAATTTCAATTTGTTTTTGACTTGATTTGTACTCCCGCGGCGGTGGGTTGGCGAACTAGTGGCGCTCCGCTCGCCCAGCTAACTTACAGTTGGGTTTGGAGTAGTTGTCTACTGTTTGTTTACATGTACGAGTGGTCTGCTAATTGGTTTTATTCATTTAGTTAATAAAATTAATGAGTTTTGTTAATTATGTTGAGTGAGCTAAGGGATGGATATAATAAGTTTTATATTGTTACGCGTATGAATTGAGGTATATTTATATTACATAATTGTATGAACTTGTTATACTGAATGTGGTAGGATTTTGTATATTTGTATAATTGTTGTTATTTTTATGTATGTTTTAGACGCCTGATGAAGGCCAAATAAAATGGCTGAAACGTCGCGGAATCAATAATCTGCCTTCTTCCAATTTGTAGTCCAATTTCCTGTTAATACTAATACTATTCAAATTACTATGGATGTTAATTTTAATAATAAAAATTATATTTTTAAAGTGAATTGTTTTGTATAAGTGTACATTTATTATAAAGTCATGGATCTTATTTAATTAAGTTTCTATTTAATAAAATTGAATGTTCTGAGCAAGGATGACAAAAAACATCGTATTTAACTAGGCCGTAAAGAAGCAATCCCAACCCTCAGTTTCAATAAACTAACTCGAAATTTATAAATTTTTTTCCAAAAAGTGTCCTTTAACATCCTGGTTTTGGATATGAGCAATTTTCTTTATTCGCTCCACAAGCCTTAAGCTTATTTCACAACATTGAAACTGCTGGTAAATTGTCACTTTGCGCCCTAGTTACATAAATACCTAATCCCTGGCGGATTCGGGTTCACAGTAAAATGATCGTGAAACGACGGTGAATGTACCGTGAATTCACAGTGTCGACAAATGATCGTCGAATGACCATCACTTGACTGTCGAACGGCCGTCATTTGACAGTGAACGACGAGTATCATTGTGAAAGTTTTTCACTATTACTTTATGATTTTTATTCTGTATAATTATCATACTTCACTCTTCGAAAAACCAAATTTTTACTTGACTTCTTCGATTTTTTACCTAAGTAAAAATCGTAGATCATCGATCGATCGTCTGTCATTGCACGGTAGTTTGTAAGTGAAACGACCGTGAAACGAGCGTATAATGTCGGTAAGTCAGGAATGTTTTTCTAGTCAACGAAGAAAAATTGCTGACAATATTTTATTTCCATAAAAATACTCAAACCATAAATTATAAATTATGATCGCTATATATTTTTATATTATTATGTAATATTTTATAGTTGCCATCTGGCCTGTGCCTTGGCATTAATAAATCTAAATAATCTAAATAATCAACATTGTTTTTTTTTTTTTTTTTTTTTTTTAATCGGGAGTATATTTTATTCAATAATTAATTAATAAATTATAATTTAATTTCAACTTAACTATAAACTTATTTTCTACACGTCAAATATTTTCACCGTAATTCAAAAATTTGAATCCATTATTAAAAATTTGAATTTTTTTTTTTTTAGAGACAAAAACTTTAATTACGAAATTACGGAAAAATTGTTTGTTATCAAGAAAAATTATTCTGAGATTTTTTAACAATTAAATTTTTAGCAATTTCTTTTTCAGATCTTTTTTTATACAGTTAATAATTTCACCGCAATTTCGAAATCAAGAATTTCGTAGTCATCAAAAATTTGAATCATTTATTACGATTATTATTTTGAAGTCCTGGTAAAAATATAACTTTATTTAAGCTATTTTTATCTGTACAATGAAAAAAATGACTTGGTTTTGACACCTTATCATGTCACTGAATCGAATACCCCGTGCGTTGTCTCAGATAGCCCAACTGGTAAAGTTTCGGGCACGCGACCATTTGAACCGGGTTCGAGTCCCGGTCTAGACTGTCCGAAGTATTTTTTTTCATTTTATTGTCCGTGACAGTAGCGTAAAATCACCGTATTTCGACAGTATATTGAGCGTACAGCATCGGTCATAACATCGTAGATTCACTTGCGTATACACCGTATATATTCAATAAATTAATAGTAGACATCGTTCACAACGGTATCCGATGCTGACTGATAGATCGCTCGGTAAGAACGAACTTTATACGGTGAAACGACCGTGAAACAACTGTCAAGCGACCGTGCTGCGACCGTGCTTTCACCGTGCTGCTGAAACCGCCAGGGATGTTACATTTCATCAAGTGTCACTTATCTATGACGGAGCTATTTTACATGCATTATATTTAAAACTCAAATAAGTGTCATAATCAAAATACAATACAGTATAGAAATAGTTTTAGTGCGATATATACAAAAATGATAAAAGTTAAACTAAAAAAAAAAAGAGTAAATATTGAATGTCTAATCTATCGACTATAAACTATTGACCGGTATCTGTATTCAATACGTACTCAGAGAAAAATATTTTTTTTTACTTTGAGAATCATTTTAACCTCAAATACCGTAATTGATAATTTTTCAAAAGCTATATATATATATATATATATATATATATATATAGCTA